CATTTCATTGTTTGTTTGCATCGAATAGGTTCCGAAACTACTGGAACAATTTTAAAATTTATTTTTCATTCACCTACGGGACGCTACATCATACGCGAGTTAGGCTATAACGTGTGAAGTCGCAGAAAAACAGCTAGTTATTTAATATAAAGATTCATCATAAAAGGAGGACTCCGTTTATCCAAAAAATGGGAATACATAAATTTTCGAATCGATTGTATAATTTTGTTAAATCATTTCCGTAAAGATAATCGGTATATCAGAAGCGGTGTCAGGTACTATCTCCGCTGCATCATAAATTATCGAAAATGCATTTCAGTCAAAGACGTATTAACGTTTCGAAAGTAGATTAAATTTCCTTTTTTGGATCGTTGTTTTTAAGCAACTGTCGCAGAAGTCGATGACGGAATGGGTGACCAAAAAATATTATCTTGAAGCTCGCGGTACTTCGAAAGGCACGTTAAACCGTTGGTTCGTAAATAATCGTAAATACTCTCCAATCCGCATTGGGCCAGTGTGGAGGGTCATGGCCCATGGCCCATCCTCCTTAATCATCCATAAGGAAAGCCTGAGCCACTGCAGTGGGGCGATTCCATTGTCACAGCAATTTTCTGAGATATTTGTTTAGTTCGCAAACAATAACACCCAACGGAAGAAGCTATAAGTTTGACCTGTCTGTCTTAATGTCTGTTTGTGGCTCTTAATAGTTTAAACCGATTCGAAAGTGTTTTTTTTTTAACGACAGCCTTGTTTATTGTGGTTATGTTTATGAAACGAATAGTCCAATTTGATTAAAGTTTTTTAATCAAAAGACTATTTCGTCAATATTATTTTGAGATATATATATATTTTATTTAGAAATAAAACAAAAAAAATGTTAGCAACAAAAAATCACTCATTCGGGTTTTTTTTAGATAGTATTTGTTCCCATCATACAACAGTTCTGTCCAACAAAACTAGATGATAAAAAAAGCTTTCTTAGAATAATCATTTAAACACTACTTCTAAATAGATCAAAGAGACACTTCAATTTCATAACAATAATGCTTTAACGTTAACAGAATTCATACGCACAATTACGAGAAAACAATTTAATATCGGGACATCAGAGAGGGACGCGTGTAGGCTGTCCTTGTTTATTATTCATCACGCCCTAAATAAATTGTTTTTGCTAAGTGTTATATCGTTCCCGACCTTGCCTGTTACGTACTGCATTCGTTAGGGGAAGATTGTAATGTGAGTCAGTGAGTGTATTGCCTTTTTTTTTTGCTTTAGGACTTTATAGGTACAATGTAGTTTTTAAGTAATTTCTCCTCGTCGGGACATTACATCTTACCCTCACTTTAGGAAGTAAAACTTAGAAACAACTAACTGATTTCAGGTCACCGATAGAATATGAAGGAGATGAAAAGTACACAGATTAAAAATTTATCCGAGTAGTGCTTTTTATAGAAGGCTAGTCAAAACGTGAATGGCATGCCCAATAAGCCCGCTCCGATGTGCCCTTCGCTTTTGACGTGGGATCCACCAGGGCCTGTTCCACACCCAGACCTCGACGTTTGGGCCCCCAGAGTGGATGTCGATGCGCTGTAATCCTCGGTGGAGTTACATCAATCGTTTTCCGCGGTTAATAGCATTGCTCACCCGTTATTTATACAAGTAAATAAAATTGGAGTGTCTGTTTGCTAAATGCATATGTATGTATACACGGCACTAAATATACCAAAAGAACATTTTTTGTCTGTCTGTTTGTGCCGGCTAATCTGTGAAACGGCTAGATGGCTTTTGAGTGGAATTCACTGGCTGATTGCTTTAGCAGTAAAGAGTAACTTGAGTAACTTAGGCTACTTTCCACGCGATGTCGCGGGCATAGCTAGTTTAATTATATATATCGTACAGAGCCTGGTACGAACAGACCCTAAGCGCATTACGTACCATTACTAATAAACTTAGTGCAGAGATATTTAGCTGACAGGTAAAGATTTTCGTGTGTATAGGACCATAGGAGAAGCTATCTCCACCCAAAAGAAGAAGCCCTGGTCTCGCCGCAAGAAGATAAAATACCGTACGAGTTTTGGGTGCGTGGATAGTGCCAGGGGTTGTGCCTCAAGCATTTTCCCAACGCATATAAAAATAAGTAGTAGTCAGTCGCCAGGGCATTCACTCCCCTAACGGGACCTACACACATTCCCTGCCTAGTACACACCAGCAATAGAGTTGTTGCCTTCAATATTGACCTTTTGTTGCCTATAAAAAGTACAATAAAACACATTTACGACTTTAGCAGAATTACCTGTCGGTGAGACACTGTTGCTTTTAATGCTTTTCTTCAGTCTTTATACAGACTTGATCCAAATGATATACATATATATTATGAAATAATTGATATACATATATAATATACATATATTCAAAATGAGATCTTTTTAAAAACAAGTTTCTATTGGAGCACAGATCTTGTGCTATTAAATAACAAATTCCACTTTCATAATCAGACCACGTTCTACTTTCATAATCAGACTCTGAATATTATGTTTACTCCATATCTCTGCGACTATCGATTTAAGCTGTGTATAGTCAATACACAGCTTAAAGTCAGTCAATAAGTCAGGACATTAGCTTAATCTGGTATCTGAATAAGTTTCATTGTTGAAGAGCCTTTTTCGAGGTACAAAAGATGCTTGAAAGGAGGCTCGAAATTGGTAAAAATTTGCTCTGCGCAATGGTACGCCAAGTAAATTGGTACTACCTGTAATAGTAACATTAAGAAGTCCCCCCACCCAGTACGATATACGAGTTATGTAGCTATTGTTATAGATAAGGTCACAACAAAGTTATAAGCCCACCGATCATTCGATTAATCTCGATCGATGACATTGCGTGTAGATAAGATAAGATAGCTAAAACTCATTTATACAAAGCTCTCTTGTATCACAAACATATTTCTAATATAAGGGAATTTGCTAGTCGAACTCACCAATAAAGCGTTCCGTAGTAGCATAACACTATAATTGTGCGCCCGCAAAAAAATACTTTGTTTTTTATAATATTTGTATGAAATACATAGTTATATTGGTTTTTTTTTAAATACGCTATATTTCAGAAAATGTCTGATATAGTCTGATATCTCGTTAAAATTACCATTTTACACGTTTATCACTTTGGAAGTGCCTAGATGTCACAACTCTAGAAAATTATAAAGGACCAGAAAAAATAAAACACACAGCTAGTGTGTATACATCTTTTCTATATATATTTTTATTGTATTCCGTCTCAGTCGGTACGAACGCATCAATATCAAAAGAAATTAAATTACCTATCAGAATCCCCATCATATCTTCGGAGAATCTTATAATTCTCCAGACATATTGCCAGGAAGAACGGGGATGATTTATAAAAACATAGCGTCACTACCTCCACTGGCCATGGCTTATTCTCTCTATTCGATTTGTATCCATCCGTAGAAAAATCCTGTACCTCATCAGTATCAGTACAAATATCCAGATGTAAAGGTGTCGAGCACGAAGTATTTTAGCTTCCTTGTAGAATGAAACCAATGGATAATGGTAAGGGTTTTTTATCACGGCTATTAAGACTGCACGTTGTTCCCATTCTTATTGGACAAAGCTTATCTTAATCTATTTGATGGTTTTAGATATAAATATTTTAATTAAATTCGTCAAAGTGTGAGTGCTTTGTTGATTGTGTAATTGACTAAAGCAATTACAACCACAGTTAAAATCACAGATAAAAAAAATTACACTGAAACAAAACAACACCGAAACACTGCAACATAACTAATATGCCTAACTGACATACCTGCGTAGAAGACTAAATATGATTCAAATAACGCTCCTGACCTCCCCACCGAGTGTAAACCTTGTGACTATCAACATAAGACTGATTATTATTAATCATACTTTAGTCATCGCTATTAGTATTAATTATCCTATTGCTCCTTATTATATTATAATTAATTTTCGGTATTTACTGAAAAAAATATGTTTTCATTTGAACGCGGTATGCTCATAAATTACCCAATGTATTTATTTTCTTGCGGCTTTCACTGAGGGATAGTAATCCCCCCCCCCCACTCCCCGGAACAGAAAGTCCTCCTTTGCGAATAACACAACACAACTAATCTGTTACTTGAGTTTTATTTGTCAGACTATGTTTTTAGCATTTTTTAAAACTGACTTGAAAAATTAATATATTGGTTTTGAACCATAGCGAGGCTTTCAACTGCGAGGGCATTTGTAGCATTTGCTACTTTTTACGCGGCTCATCCAGCTCTGAGGATAGATTATTTTATTAGGGATATTTAAATGCATAATTTACTAATGAAAAATGACGACGAAATGTTAAAAGTTGGTTAAAAAATAAATACAAGTAAATAAATATAACATAACACCACATTGCTCAGATTCTTAAATAAGCCGAGGCACTACAAATAGTTACTATGATTTGCTTGATCATACCTGGGATCAAACACGGGACTCGGGACTTTGAAACTTGGCATGCGTGCCACTCGATGATTGGAGGATAAACATCAAATATTATTTAGAAAAAATAAACAAAACGAGGAGCTCGATTACGCAGTGGTTAGCGCCTTCAGTCAACAATAGGGTTATTGAACAATTTATACAAGGGCCAGTCATAGGATGGGTGACCAAAAACTCATTATCTTCAACTCTATTGGTTCCGACTGCATCTGCAATATTCAACACCCACCAATCCGCACTGGACCCGGTGGGTAATAGTCTGTGCACTAGCATAAACATTAATAGGCTGGTGTTGTGATGTCAAGCAAATAAAATTTGCCCAACAATTTTATGTACTTTTTATGCCTTGATTAGATTTATGGGAAAAAGTTATTATAAATTGCAACATTTCATTTTTTTAATAATATCTTATAAACATATCTTTTCTTTCAATATAATAATAACACTAAAAATTAATTTCTTCAGTTTTTACATACAAAAAAGAATAAAACACAATACCTTTTTATTTACGTAGCTCCAAACAATCCAATGTAATCACTTTCCACGTTTCATCACTACACACTTATCACAAGATCCTGATAAATTTTCCCATTTTCTAGGGAAAATACAATACCACTAGGTATCCAAGGTTGCATGTCACCTAGGAATATCTTCTGCAAAAACTCTGCACGTTCCAACACTATTTATAAACATTTTAATATCAGCACATTATAAAAAAAAAGGTTTTATTACTAGTACTGAAATGTGAAAAAGATCCCGTCGATCACTATCCCAGAGCGGGAATAGTGCAGACCAAAAAAATATGTTTTATTTTTAAATTGAGTACCGCTGGCTGGGCGCGCGCGTCTGTGGAAAGCGAAGCTCGAAATTCGAATTTAGGTTAGAATCCGCGGGTTATGGCGCCACGCACACAAACGCGTGTATTACACAGATATCGGCAAAGAATATAAAATGCAGTGTCTTCCCAATTCGTTTCAGTACTTACGGAGTCATTCATGTAAGATATGCGAACCAAACTTAGTTCACAAGTGCTCAATAAATAAAATTGCATTTGATTCCATTTGGTTAGTATATATTCAATTCTTTAAGGTTTTTTTTATTTTATGTAACTATAACTGAAATTAAAACATCTATCAATTGCTTTTATTATCTTGTCCTTTTACATAATACTTTATAATCAAAATCCGCAAACATAGAAGCATATAAAAGCCACTTTATTTTTTCAATTATTTAATATACCATAAAATTGCCCTATTTCGAATTATAGTTCATGTCAGCATACCAATTTCAGCGTAATTTAAACTTAATCTCTTTATATCTCCTCGACATTCAAATAATAAATTAAACTTAAGTAGTTATTCTATAACAATTTTTAAAACAAACTGTGTTGCCTAAAAACCATTCTACGTTTTCAATACTCTTTGTCCACCTCACACATACAAGCCCCATCTGGCAGACTCGACGGCGTTTACGTAGATCAGCTCGCTCCCGTAATACTGAAAATACTCGCCCACTACGGCTACACCATCGGCATTACTAATGAAACTCGATAAGAAAATTATAATAGCTATTTTTATTCGATTTTCCAATATCAACTCATTCCTTCTTGCGCATAAGTTTTTAAGTTAATTGAAATTATATAAACATACATAAGAACAGTGTCAAACTATAACGGAACACTTCATAGAATATGTTAGGATACAAGATTTGTTAGACATGGCAATAATGTTAGGTGATAAAGACGAACACCGTAATGTCTTTATATTAAATAGAATTATCTTACTAAACTATACCTATATATTTTTTGGAATGTATCAAGGTATCAACATTACTGGCACTATAGTACCCTGGCTAGTGAAATTATATATACCTAGCTAATGCAATATTCAGCGGCTTATATTCAGCGTCATAATTATTGAAGCGTCCAAAATTATCAAAAAGACGTGAAGTACATAAGTTCAATTTTATCTATCTTGGCAAACAAATTTACATATTGATCTAAGTACGCAAAATAATAAAAATATCTTACTACACTTTTTCTGCTATGATCCTCGATACAAACACTATTCCACTGTATTAGACTCGAATCTAGTCAAATCGTTGTGAAACAAGTTGTTAGTAGATAAACTCGATGAGATGATTCGTATTAATCAACATCAATATACAACTTTGTTTGCCTGGATAAAATGGAATTCATGTACTTGACATCTATTTGATTGCAGATTGAAGCGCCCATGCTTTAAAAATTATGACACTGATACCTAGTGATGGCGTAAAGTAACCTATTGTCTTCTTATTGCCATTCGATGCCGTAACTAATTTTTAGATTTTTTTATTTTATTTTATTGGTTCAGTGAGTATGGTGAATGGGATAAATTATGGCATGGTATCTGATGATATGATATTTGATGCGGAAATTAATAGGCTGATAATAATAATATAAGTTTGTTTCGAGTGATAACCCTTCGAGTTCCTTTAGTACCAACACAAGTTGTGTTATCTCAAATCAGTGAGTCAGCTAATAGATACAGCCGCGAATATTATAATTGTTGGGTATCATCCGCTTTCATAAATAATCTATTAGATAGGTTCTTAGAAAATAATATTAACTAAACTCCATGCTAATATAATAAACATGAAAGTAACTCCGTCCGTTCGTTACGTTCAGGAGGCGTATATACTAGTGTTGTGAGGCATATTCTTTTCCGTATCTACAGATATTTGGGCAGAAGTAGGGACTGTATCCGTTACTTTTTAGTCAGATATCAAACGGATATTTTTAAAATTATTACACATAGGAAATTCATAAAAATATATATGGTGGATGATAATGAAATACTGTCAAATTCCATTTAAATATTCTCTAGTTCTTGTCATTACATATTTAGCTTTATTGTACTGCAAAAATTAGATACGTATAATTTTTATTCATATCTTTAGGGTGTCTTATATAAAGTTAGGTAAGGCATGTCTCAGGGAATTCCTTGCCTGTTGACGGCGCCTTTACTGTGCGAGAGAGTACACTTCTTTTCTGTGTTCTGTGAGTACAACCATATAAATAAATTTTATTTCTGTGAGTACAACTGAGGGTTTTGGTAAAACCGGCGAACTTCTCTGCATGATACTAGATCCTTCTCCCATCTATAACAAATGTGCTTCGCAGCAGGTTTTCTCAAGTAGGCCAATAATACTTTGACCTTATGTCTTGAGACAGGGCATGTGGCTAGATAGACCTGATTTATGGTTAGATATGTGGACTTCAATTTGCCGCTATTGAGCGTAAAAGGTTAACTTTCTTACCTTTATCCGACTAACCGAATTACTTTCAGAAACCCAAAATCTTTTTTTAGGTCTCAGTGTCTGCGAACTATCGTTGGAATTCGCATCCTTACCTCCGGACTTATTTTTAACGATCTATCACATCACTAGTACATACCATAATTACATGTTACGCGTCCCGTCCTAATTGGGTACTATCGTACGAGCAAACTGTCGCATCGCAACACAACAAATAAGAAATGATTTTTTTATGAACTAACCTCAATAAATATAGCTCATATATTTTATAATTACAAATATAAACAAACTGTGAACGTTAACATTCACAGTTAATGTCAATGGGACGGCCATTAATTGACACTGACGTCACCGCAGTTAAATAGTCATTGCCAGATTTGAGGACACACAATATAAAACTTTGTAGCGCTTTATTTGCTTCTTGGTTATTTTTAATGTTCTGCCCAATTATATTTTTTTTTTTGGTTATTTCGTTCAATGCAACTGACGACTTAAGTGTACACAAACTTTACACAACACGGTGTTCAAAACCTTATTCAACTTCGTAATAGGTTAAATTAATTCGTATTGAACCATAAAAACATCATAAAATCTTTAACAGACGGCCATCTTTGCTTATCATACTAGCTGTTTTACCACGACTTTGCTCGTTTGAAATATAATTTAACCTACATCACCCGCGTATGATGTACTCGTACTTCTCCTGAGTAAAAGAATTACTCAATAGAATAAAAAATATTCAATGAAAAAAGAGAATAAGACCTCTTCATAATATCAGTAGATATAATATCTATTATACCATAAAAAATCTCTCATAAAAGAATTTTTAAAATCATTTCTTTAGTTGATTAGTGAAATGCATGAAAACCTTCGTCGTTCTCCCTTTTAATGAAAAAACTTCTGATGGCGACCTCTATACTCATGCCAATATAATACTCATATTTGCAAAAACTCCCGCCGTAAGCTTTACTAGCTAAACCAAGAAGAGCTTTTGAATTCGTGTATTTGTCAACATTGTTAACAGATGGCGCTTTTATCACTTTTACAAATTTTTCCCAATTTGAGTCTGATTTTGTAACTTACTTTAGAAATATTTATAAGAAGATAAAACTTTATTTAATTATTATATAATATAATTTGTTTTCCTATTGCTGATTAATAAAGCAAAATATTAAACCTCTTTTTTATTTTTAGTTTTCTTTTGATGAAAGATATTTGCTATGCTAAAATAACATCTTAAAATGAATACCGGATATATATTTAGAAAAATATTGCCATAATAGGGATTGAATATTTCAAAAGGACATGATGCCTTCGCTACGAAAATTTTGCTACGTCTATGTGCTCCACCTACGATTTGACTACGAGCGTCCTTTGCTACGAATGTCTACGATTTTTTTTTTCAACTACGGCTTTTATTTATAATGTAAGTGCTATTCACATTCCGATAATTTTATTTTAATGTATAATTAAATTGTTGTTATTACGGTTCTGTACCCCAAAAAGAGTAAACAATAATCAGTCTTTCTGTCATAGCTGTTTCTTAATCTTTATTCAAATAGATTTATTTTATATTATATACTTTTGAATCGTGCTGTATTTTTATTAACGAACTACTCGTTCAGAACATCTTTTGGCTGATAAGAAGAACTAGCTCTAATAGAAGTAAAGATATTTACAAAATCAAGACATTAGCAAATAAATTTTAGCAATATAACTAACCATAGTGTGCAACAAACAACTGAATTAATTGTTTTTAATATTGTAGGTATATTTCGTGCACTCATGTAAGTCACGATTACCACCAGCCTATAAATATCCTCACTGATCAAAACGCAGGTCTTTTATGGACTATGAATGAAATTGAATCGAATGGGGAGAATGACAGATACAGTAGAGACCAAAGGCTTAACGTGCCTTTCAAAGCAATAGCTGTAGTCCCATGATCGGGTGCATAAGTTGCTTAACTAAGCACTGCACCATCGAGCTATCAATCCATTGGGAATGCCTGTAACGTACGCAGAGACGATAATAGTCTTATGATGATGAGGCTTAACCCAAATTTTTACTATAGTTTATTTTCTATGAAACATAAGGCTAACTAATATCCTGCCTACGGCTCACCTAGAATGCAGTTCAGTAAAATAAATGCGATCCGTTGCTTGCTGCATTGCGCCAAACCCTTTGAAAATACAATAGCTCTTGAACCAAGACATTCACCCCATTTCAACGGTCAATTGTTATGCTATAATCACCTTTATTATTAAACTGTAAGGTTTCTAAAAATGTTAGATAATATTGACTATTCCTTATTTGACATTCCTGTGGTTTGAAAATACAGAAAATTCAACTATTTTTACCTTTTAAAAAAGTTGTAGTTGATAATGAAAGTTAAAGAGATCCAATATCGTAGTAAATAAAATATCCCTATATCTTATAATAAAATACAATGCGAGCTAAATTCAAATTAACGATAACAAACGTCATTTTTGGCGCCGAAAAGTGAAACGTCAATCTGCCATTTTGTGCGCCGCGATTGGTCAACCGGCGGGGGTTGTTTACACGTCGAACGGACGGATC